TTGATTCTAGATTTATCTTAGTCATTTTAAACTGTTTATTCTGGAGGCTCTAGAAGACAGAGAAGATTAACACTGCTCTTCAACAAACCTTTGTATAGGCTTAATATAAGCTCCTTGTATTTTAACCTTTATTTTTCTCCCAACAAGAACTGGGCATGTTCTTCTTTTTCAGAACTTTTCTTTTAATCAGAATTTCTAGCCCATTCCTCCAGCAGTTACATCTGCTCTCTCCTAAAATGCTTGGGCCAAACTTGTCTCTGACAAGATTTTTTCAGGTTAATTTTACCAATTCCAATCATCTAATGTTATCTCCCTTTGACACCTACATACATTGCCACTCTTTTTCTTAATACACATAATTTACATAATTATAACTCTATCTTAGGAAGCAGAGAACTGGCAATGTCTCAGTGTGCCATATCAGGGTTTGATAATAATGTCTCATGTCTATACGAGTAACCAACAAGCATTATACTTACAACTCCTTGAGGGTATCTTGGCATTTCTTGCTTTATAGTCTCTTAGTTTAATTATTAGAGGGAGAGCTGATCCCAAAGTAGGAGAAAAAATGAACTTTGAGAGGTACCTCCCATCCATACACTATTTTTCATTGAAGAGGATACATTCTCAACTGAAAATCAATGTCCTACAATTCAGGAGTTTACAAAAATTCATTGAGAATTCTCATAAGTTTCCAGAATTTGGCCTCCTGCATCCCTAGTTCCTTTTCCATCTCTTTTAATCAAAGAAGGAAAATAGACAATTTATATTACCAAGAGTTTCAATGTTTAAAGGAAATCTAATTAATAACCTTCCAAATTCTGAATCAAATGATAAATTAAGAATCTAGGTGGAAATTTAGTGTTATTTTCCCCTCTGGATTAGAGACCACATTTGGGCCCAAGAACTAAATAGCCCACTTGTTACTTATTCAGCTGAACTGATTTTATTCACCTAATTGCAGGGGAAGAAGTTGGAGATCTTCAGGGGTACAGTAGTGCTTGTGGAAGAGAGCAGAAGGCAAGCTGAGGGGAAAGCATCAGCTAAACCCCACAGTGCGCCCTCCCATCCCCAGCCTGTATAGGGTATGTGTGACATTCGTCAGGCACTCTTGGCTGCCCTAGAACAAAGGAAGGGAAAAACAAATGGTTAACAGATAGAGATAACATTCATGGAGGACAGGAGTCTCCATCAGTTTGTAACTGTCTTAATAAATTACAAGAAAAAAAGCAATCTCCAGAACCTGTAGACTCAATTTCCTGGAGCCCTAACATCACCTTCGCCTCCATAGCATAAAAAATCTTACATAATCAGTCATTCCTCACAACCCCAGGGCAGCCTGGGGTTTGCCCAGGGGTCCTGTGCCTGTGCTTTAATAAAACCACTCTTTTGCACCAAAGATGTCTCAAGAATTCTTTCTTAGCCATCGGCTCTGAACCCCACTACTTCAAACCACATCATTTTGGTGATGTTACATGGGGCTTTGAGTCTTTTCATCTGGACTCTGAGCCTTGTGCAAACTTGATGAGTACTTTCTCTCCTCCCCCTTTACTCTCACTTCAGGGGCTTTCCAAGGAGTCTAGTCTTCCTGGAACACTTTCATGTCCATTGCTCACTCAACGGTCATCTAGCCTGTGGCTACTCTGTAAGGAGGAGAAAGCCTGTCTTTTGACTGGAAGTGGTAATAAGGCCCAGAAATTTGATGCCCTCTCTTTACTCCTGTCCTTATACAAAGTTGTCTGTCTTGGGCACGGGACAGCCACTGAAGTCACCAGGAAGGCTGCCAGTCTTAAGAGTCCTGTGTGAGGTTTCCTTATTGGTCTAATGTGATCCTTTCCACATCTCTGGTCCATCCACTTATGGCCATGAGACCTCTACTTGGAGCCTGCCCAAACCAGTACCTGACTGAATTAAAACCCAACTGGGAACTATTTCCTAGAGAAGTTGGCTATAAAAGACTACACATGTTGGAATGTCACTTAGGCCATGATGCATTTCTATCTTTACTGTCAATGTTCTGTTTTCTGTCAATGTCCTCTACCAACTACTTAAGTTACAAAATTGGGTAATTTCTCCTTGTAAATCTTTTCTAGGGTTGGGGCACCTGGGTGGCTCATTTGGTTAAGTATCTGCCTTCAGCTCAGGTCATGATCCTGGGATCTTAGAATCAAGCCTCACTCGGGCTCCCTGCTGAAAGTCACCTCACACCTTGTTCCTCTCCCCTTGTTCCAACCCCCTGCTCATGCTCTCTTTCTCTCTCTCTGTCACATAAATAAATAAAATCTTCAAAAAAAGCAAAACAAAATGTTTTTAGTGTTTTTCATGGGTTAAAAATGGTGGGTTCTTCAAGGCAACATAAATAAAGCATGACCTCCGTGGCATGGTTTTGAAGGCAGGGTATCTATGTCCTTGCCTAGAATGCAATAGGGAAGTTGTGGGGGATAAGTGGAGGGGATGCTAGCATCCCTCCTCCAGGGCCTTTAATGACAGGGTGGTGATCATAGTGATTTTGTCCAGGGATGCCTTGTGTTGCTTTGACACCAGGAACCTCTGATATATCCTGCACATGGGATGCCATCTGGGAGTCAGTGGAGGGAGAGAGGGCTTCCTTTGTAATGGACCATCTCTCTTCTTCAGTTGCCAGGGACTGTCTCTTGGAATTTCTCTTAACCCACTGGAAACAATTCAGATTGCAAAATTTAAGAAATGACTGGTCTCCTGTAACACTGTATGGCTTCAGTAGGATCTATCAGTTAGATCTCCTCTGCATGAAGCAGGGCAAATGCTTGGCGGTACCCCAGGTCCAGGCCTTCTTGGATCTAAATCAGGACCCTAACCTAAAGGCCTAGAATGTGTCTGGCCACCAATCAGGTCAGTAAATTTCCTCCTGACATATTGGATGATAATTATCTAAATGGATCTCCTCCTGATAGAACCTAGGTTGCTGGAGAAAACACAGACCCTCCCTAATGCAGGGGACACATTCTCTCTCACTGTTCCTCCTAAAAAAATCAGGTTACTTTAGCGGGGATCATTCATTACCTCAGTTAACATGTATGATAATTGGAACTAACTGTCTCTGGTTAGTCTATCTCAGGATGGGGACTTTAAACTCTTCGTTTCAGAGAGGTTCTCTGTCTTCTCCTGACTGACATAGGCTGCCTAATTTCACTTGGTGGAAAAAAACAAGCAAACCTGCATCTGTTTACTTGTCCAAGCTGACAGCCTCCAAGACTGGGAGACTCCTTCCCTACCTTGTGGACTTTTATCCACCTCCAGCCTTCCAGGTGGTGCCTCACCTCTTCTGCCTTCCCCTCCCCCTCCTTCTGTGTCTGCATCACCTTGAGTGCAACCTGCATAACTGGTTCCTAAACCATCCATTGTGCCTCTGGCAGCGTTGGCTCTGTCCAGGAGTGTAGAGTATCTCCTTAGACTTAATACCTCCCACTTTGAATTTCCCCCACCAGTGCCCCAGGTAAAAATTGACAATGGGGAACAAATTGATTGACTTTTACGTGGACCCTGGTGGAACATAATTCAGTGTTTACACTAATTGAAACTTTTTATTCTATCTAGCTTTACTGAAAGTTAAATACACTCATGATCTCTTGCAGTTTGTCAGCAAAAAGATGACTTGAACTAATGGTTAATTTTGTCTGTCTCAAAGTTTTCATGGGTAATTATTAAGATAGTCCTTGGTAATCTAAAACTTTAAAGTTTTGCTTGGATGATAAATTGGGATTGAATTCATTGGATATCTAGGTCTTTCCAAATAGAATGGAGTGCTAATGCATTGATTACTGAGCATAGGATTGTGTTTTTGGCTTCTTAATGCAGAGAAACTAAGAATATTTCAGTTTGTTGGTAAACATGCTTTGTGCTTAATTGACTCATAAATTTGCCATCAAAAGAATTCTGGTATGACAGTTCACAATCGGTTACTACTTAGTTTCCACTGGAGACTAAGGTTTCTCAGAGCACAAACTTCTGCTGAATGTAATTAAGACAGATGGAAATAATGGAGGTGACTCTGTATATAGAAAAGCAGGAGATATGTAAGAAAGATACAAGGAATGGGGACACATTTTTGTTGAAGGAAAAGGAAAGTAATTTTGTCCTAAAAGGAGACTGGGTGTTTGGAGAGAAATGGCGTGGGACAGACTCTGAATGCAAAAGAATGTTGTAGACGCTTTGTGAAGGGAAACCTTTGGAAAGGAATTTTATATGCCATTGGGATGGACTAAAGTTGAAATGAATGGATTTTAAAAGTACACTGGTTTTGAAGATTGAAATTCTGGTCTTCTCTCTGTCCCTTGCCCCCCTCCCCCCAAAAGAAGTTTTCTTGAATTATTGGTCAGCTCTTGATAAGAAAACATAAACAAAGTTATTTTCTCTTTTCTTTGTCTGCCCAGTAAAAACAGTTTCTATGTTTTGTCTTTACCAGGTTTTTGATTACTTAGTCAAAACTTCTCAATATTAAAGAGGCTAAGTTTTGCTAGCAATTATATAATCCTACATATTTGCCTTTGAAATCTCTCACTGTCACCTTGGCTAAATAAATAATTATGTTTTAAATTTTATTATGATCTGTAATCCTGTTTAGGCATGTGCTTTAAAAAATTCCTAAGGTTTTTAGCAAACTTTCTCAAGATTTAAATTGTAAATGAAGTCTTTTTAACCAACTAGATTTATTTAGTATAATAAGTTACTTGGAAAGTACTTTCAAACAAATAATGATAAGTCTTAGGTTCTATTTGGGTAAATGCTACAACTGTTCTAAAGATATATGAAATTCTTGAAAATCCAATATATTTTGGTATAAGGTCATCACTTGAAACTCTAGTTATCCATGTTATGTGTCACAGAAATAACTAGATTTCCTCATCAAGCTACATTAGAATGAGCCCTCATCAGATCTTTAACCATGTCCACTTTTGGGTCTGTTGTCGTTTGAGGTTTTGTTGTTGTGCACTTATGAAACGTGTTTCATCTTGTTGCAGGGTTCTTATGTCCTGGAGTCCAAGAATGAATCTCACTGACACAGAAGGGTGAAGTGAGAGTTTATTAAGTGAAGGTGAGAAGTGAAAGAAAGATCTCTGGAGTCAGAGGGGCTCCTTCATGGTTGCCAAATGATGTAGTTTTGGGATGTTGGTGAGGACCGGAGCTGAGATCCAAGAAAGAATTCTTGGGATGTCTTCAATGCAAATAGGTGATTTTATTAAAGCATAAGGACAGGATCCATAGGCAGAAAGAGCTGCACTAGGGTTGGGAGGAGTGGCCCATTATATACTTTCACACAGGAAGGGGGTTAAGGGATAGTATGTCTCTAAGGAATTTTGGAAACAAGATTTCCAGGACCTTAAGGGACTAGCTCTTGTTAGGAAAAGGTCATTTATTACTGTTTAATAAAACTTTACTCAATGAGAGCCTTCAGATGTCTATTGGTGGGTCATACACTTGGGGAATGATTGTCAACATGTACCTTGGGGGATAGTGATAAAGGAAGTTTCCAAAGGAATTTTTATATGTTGAAGTAGACTTTGGGGATCCTGCGGGTTGGACTAAGATTGCCTTTTGCCCTTGGCAAAGTATCAACATCAAGGCAGCTGAGTCCCTAGAGGAATGTCCCTCTGCCTGTTTCAAGGACTTGTCAATGGGCTATATGTAATAAGGAAATTTAATATTTTTTCTCCTGCCTTTGTTTCCCACATCAATCATCAGGATGATTAGGAAAAATGACTTTATTTTAAAAAAATAAAGCTTTTTAGTATCTCTAAAACCATAAAACTAAAATGGGTAAGAATTTCCAGAACTAATTAAAAGGCTGCATTCATCCAACTGAATAAAAATTAGTGACATGTTACTAAATAAATTAAGGAAGATGATTATAATTTCTGTGATTGTTCTTTGAAACATTGCTGATTCTCTAATGTTTGCTCTTCCAGATTAAGGAAACTGTCTCTTAAGAGAACCATGATATATAGAAATAATGGTGAAATATTCCTTTGTGAAGAAATTAAAACATTTAACTTTTCTCTCACCTGAACCCTCTGAAATTCAGAAACTGTCACTGAATATTCTTTCTTTCGTGGCAATCATAATTACTTACATAAGTTCAATAAAAATCTGTTCTTCTTATAACAGGACACCATTGGAAGCATTGGTTGTTCTACCAAGGCTTTGACTGGAATATTATATTTGAGAGACATGCACAGACTCATTTATGACCATACATCTTTAAGGAACTAAAGTTGGCCTTATGTCACATGGAGCCAATAAAGTCCCTTGGAACTGTTAGCCTGATCCTTGCTTACAGAGGTCCTACCAGCTTTACCTAGCAAGTAAAAAATGTCACTTCCTGGCACGTGCAGGAACTTCAGGATGTTTTTGGGACCTTGAGAAAAGGAATTTGCCCAAACCTGCAAGTATGCAGAATGTCTGATGGCAAGTATTTGGCTAGCCTTCTGGCCTGGAAAGGCTACTAAAAGTTCAATCTAGAGATTCCTCATAAAAAGTTCCAATTCTGGCAAAGCAAATTTAAAAGATCTGTATGGCCAATCGCTATTTTTGCTGAACTTATGTAAATAATTATACCAAATTTGTTAAAATTTGACTTGTTTTACAAATGCGTTAGTATTGATTTTGCTATCTCTGGCAAAGAGGGTAATTATAGAGAAAAATTATGTTCCAATAACACATCTTTGTAGATGCATTAAATTTTAATACTGCTTATTGTAGAGTAGATCCTAAATTCTTCTGGTTTCCTCATATATTTGTCTGTGGCTCTCCAACTAAGGTTTCCAGTCTTCTTCCATTCTCTTAACTTAAGGTTGTTAAAAACTAAAACTGCATTTTTTTCTAAAAGTCCTGACACGACAACTTGAGGCAAACTTCAGAAAAATAGTTCATGTACAGACAATTTTCTTGCTTATTATTCTATAGGGATAATAATCAGACCCCATGTGCATATGATTATTTGAACAATTGGAAAATGGGATTGATTACCCCAATAATTGTATATGAAAAGCTGTGGACCTACCAATACAGAGGGCATATATTATTTTATTAAATTATTCACTTGAGGCTGGCTTATTTCATAAGTCTCTAAAATAATACAAAAAACCATATCCTTCCAAAACCAATCTGACAGTTATAAGCAGCTCATCCCATATAAACCTGGGAGATATGGTTTATTTAAAAGATTGGAAATCAAATACAGCAGGGGGCTTAACCCCAAAATGGAAAGGTCCATATAGCTTCATATTATGTACTCCCACAGCATGAAACTAGGACATTCCTCATGGACTCCTAATTCTTAATCTAGAATTAAACCTGTACCTTCCTCTTAGGAATCCAGTGTGCCAGCTAATGTGACTTCTTATTCCTATGAACTTGTGGAAGACCTCAAACTTCTTTTAAAATAAAAAGGATGGTTGTACCTTTTTTTTTTCCTCTTTCCCCAATTTATACTGACAATTCCTTCTTTCAATGGGCCATTCAAAAGGATCGCTAGAGACCGTTGAATTACAAACCAGAAAAAACATCTAATTCCCACTGTTGTTCCCACTCCATCTGAGGGTTCTTTAAGCCTGACACTAAAATCTTCTCACTGCCAGCACTCAAGACTCAGATACTGGGTTTATCATTTGCTCTAACCATTAACCTATATTTTTCTTTTGTTTCTATAAAAGTTACTCTTCTTAAATACCTAATTGCTTATGAAATAAAACCAAGTCTATATGATGGCTAACACCACCTGCTACACAATTAAGGCCTTAAATGACTCTCAAAATAACATTATATTATTAAACACTAAAATAACTTAAATGTATAAAACAATTCTATGAAACTGAATAGCATTAGATATTTTAACAGCAGCATAGCTTGGAACTTGTATATACATTCCCGATTACCCCAAAAATGTTTCTGGGTTTCTAGCTGACATGAATACTCAAATTGGTATTTTAAATGATCCTTTAGTGATTGGTTAAAACTCTGGACTGGAGGAAAATTATGGTCAACTATCAAAGGTCTTTTATTCAGGCTTCTCTTTCTCATAATAACATTAACGTTACTTTGTTGTCATTTTCAGTGTCTCCCTGCCTGATGTGAAGACTCCTTCTCTGCTGACAGATTGGTTCCCACTGGTAGATGATCCTTTCTACTCCAGGAGGTTCATATATGCTGTCCACGTTGTATTCAGCTGGAGATCTGATGAGGCTCTGCCTTTCATAACCCCCTTCTAGGTTCCCCGACTGACCAACGTTGACCCACAAGCCCCCTATCCTGCAAGAAGAAGCTACAGAAGGTGAGACCTTCCACCTTCAACAACCTTTAAGATTTAAGGGTCAAATTGTTCAGGGGGAATGATGAAGGAGCAGAAGGCAAGCGGACAGCAAAGCAGGAGCTGACACCGCCCTCCCCCCCATCAGGTGGGATAAATGTGACCTTCCTCTGGGCACTCCTGGGTACGCTAGAACAAAGGAAAGGGAAAAACAAATGGTTAACAGATAGAGAGAACAGTCTTGGAGGACAGCAGTCTCCATCAGTTTGTAATGTCTTAATAAATTACAAGAAAAAAAAAAAGCAATTTCCAAAAACCTGTAAACTCAATTTTGTGGAGCCCTAACATCACACTCCCCTCCATTGCATACAAAATCTTATATAATCAGTCACTCCCCACTACCCCAGTGCAGCTCCTTTTGCCCATGGGTCCTGTACCTGTGCTTTAATAAAATCACCTTTTTTTGCACCAAAGACATCTTAAGAATTCATTCTCAGGCATCAGGCTCTGAACCCCATTATTTCAAGCCACATCACTGGTAAGCATACGTTATACAGGGGACTTGCCATTAACAGTGGATTAGTTCACAGAGATGGCACCACACAAACAGTAACTTCTAACAGATTAATCTCACTGAATGTGGGGACCAGAACTGTCAGTCTCCCTAGTGTTACTAAGGCTGGGTTGACTGAAGTAGGTGGAGAGAGGGCCCAAGAGTTCCCTTTTTGCATTACCTCTGTTGAAAAATCTGCTCATGAAAAAAAAAATGAGGCAGCAAGAATAGTGTTTCCTCTAACAAAGTGTTATGGGAAGATCCAAAGGGTATTCAAGAATATTCTACTCTTGGGGCGCCTGGGTGGCTCAGTGGGTTAAAGCCTCTGTCTTCGGCTCAGGTCATGATCTCAGGGTCCTGGGATTGAGCCCTGCATCTGGCTGGCTGCTCAGCGGGGAGCCTGCTTCCTCCTGCCTCTCTGCCTACTTGTGATCTCTCTCTCTGTAAAATAAATAAATAAAATCTTAAAAAAAAAAAAAGAATATTCTACTCTCACTGTTTTTGGAGGAATGGCCCACGTGGGAAAGGAATATCCATGTTCAAAGATAAACAAGAAAAAAAAAAAAGTTAAGGATGGGGGAAAAAACTCATATGGGACCAATACAAAACTTAGGGCAAAGCATAAGAAATAGAACAATTCACACGTAAGACAGAGCATCTCACAAGACTGATTCTAGAAAGCAGTTGAAAATACTGTTCTTAAATAAATTGTACTTGCCAGGAAATTAAAGAAAACTTAGACTAAATGAGATAGGAATTGATAAAGCAACAGAAAGAAATGAAAAACTGATACAGAGCATCATGACAATGCTACTTTTTTATATTTAAAAATATTTACGTGAAGACGTGAATATATATGTATATATGGAAAACAAAACAAACAACAGCAACAAACAAGTCAGTGAACCAGCTCTTAGCCTAAAGAACACAGGGATAAGTTACAAAAAGATGAAAATGAACAGAGAACCGAGAACAGACATATAGGTGGTAAACGGAGGATAACAACACCTGTAGGTTTGTGAAGGAAATCCAAATAAATGAAATGGTCATGAGTTCAAAAAAATGATAAAATCACATTTTTAGGTAATGAAAGAAAAGTTAGTAAAAATGAAATCACTCTCTATATTGGAAAGACTGATTCTAAGGCATTTCCTGTTGAAATTATTGAACTTGAAGAGACAAACACCAGTTTCTGTAAGCATTCCTGCCTGAGCAGCAGATACAGTTTGAAAAAAAAACAAATGCGGGTGTAATGCAGCTGGAAAGAAGTTCACAATGTAGACACTTTTAAAGGGAAGAGGGTGTTCTGAGAATTGTGTGAATGGTCAATTTACATTATAAAACCAGTGGCAGGATATCCTCACATAACGCAAGAGCTGGGGATTTTTCACTGAGCGTTCCAGAAGGTCACTCACATTGTTGTGTATATGCATGGTATTTGTGAAGCTGTGCCTTCAGCCTATGAGCCTGTCTGTGCTTCAAGACAAAAACAAATAAAATCAGTAGGATACCGTCCAGTTAACCAAAGGCAAATCGAATATAATAACCACAAATGAAAAATTCGAAGATTTAATACTGAATCTAGAAAATAAATGCAATGAGGACATTACATATAATCATACTAAAAAAAGTTACAACTTCAGTGCTTACAAAAAAGTGAAATCATTATAATAAAATCACAAATTTGGAAAAAATGTTATTTAGGACAGAGAAGAAAGAGTAATACAACATTGGAAACTAAAATACAAAACAAAACAAAACAAAACTCAAACCCCACAAAACAACCCACATCAATTTAAAAACTAATTCTTTAAAAACAAAAAAAGAGATGCCTCCTGGGATGAATCAAGAAGAGAAAATACATATATTTGTAATTAGGAATAAAAAAGTCCACAATCACAGAGAGGAACAATAAAAACAATTATTACAATAATTTTTACAACAGTATCTAACAGAAATGAAAGTCTGGATAAATCAAACCATTTTCTAGAAAAATATGGATTTCTAATAATGAACAACAAAACCCCAAGACATTTAGTAGAACTGCGTCTATTTTAACACTCCTTATGCATATGTTGGGTGCCCAGTGTTGGGTTCCCCAATAACGGGTCCATGGTCAAAGGAGTGAGACTGATACAAGTAAGTTCCCCTGGGGGAGGGGGCAGGGTCGGTTTAAGTTTTACTGCATAAACAACAAAATGGCTGTTCAACCAAGGTGGGTCCACTCTGGCTCAATAGGCCCTCACACATAAGCTCCTAAGCAAGTGAAACAAATTAAATTTTCTAGGTTCAGATACTTTTAAATATTTAAGCAAATAAATTTGGTGCTGTTTAAATAATTTTGGAGCATAGAAAACGAAAGAAAGCATTCCATTTG